GAAATATACTAGCAAGTCCTGCCATTTGAAAATGGCAGGACCGAAACACGAGTGCGTGTAAATCAATTTATTTTTCACCCTGCTCGGTTTCCTTTGTTCTTGTCGGGGAATATATTCAATATTCCCCTCTAATCAATTTCCGTTTAATAATCCCCTCTAATATTCACCTGCAATTAATAATCCCCTCTAATATTCACCTGCAATTAATAATCCCCTCTAATATTCACCTGCAATGTCTTTGCAGCACAAAAAATGAGAAAAAACAACATCGCGAAGGCAAAATGGCATTGAGAATTATTTCTTTTCTGACTCATTAACGCGACCTCGCAGTGTGAAAAATAAGTACGTTATTTTGAGGCACCTCGGGGATATGTGTTTATTCACCTCGGCGCTGCGCGCCTCGGTGAATAAATCACATATCCCCTCGTTGCCTCAAAATAACCTATACATATTGCCCGGAAATGAGCTATTGTAGAGTTGCAGTTGCTAGGTAACAGACACGGCAAGCTGTAAAATTGTGTAAATGTAATAGAATACGGAAAATTTTTTAAAAATAATAACGAGAAAACGATACAAAATAACAATATAATAATAATACATTTTTAAAGCTTCAAGATAAATAAAGTAATGTTTTAGTAAGGAAATTTGGGAAAATTTTTAGTCCTGCTGGGCAGGACAAGCAGGACCACTAGCTACGCCACTGATAGAAAACGATTTACTCAAATTTCTGGTCAAGACTTTAAACTTATCAAAATTGCCAATAAGGCTACGACAATAATTTAGGTGCAACAATGAAAAACCCTTTTCATCCATTGTCTCGTCTATACCATTTTCAACCATATACCTACTAGTCGGTGGAAACAGAGCTTGAACATTTAAATCTGGGTCAACATTTGACATTGTAAGGCAGTCCATGGCTAAAGCTGAATGTTCAATAGGATTAAATACTATAGACATTCTAAGCGATCTAAATCAAAGTGCAATGGGCCATGAGATAATTCGTACATGGCCGCATTAAAAGCTACACGTCTAGATGGTTAAATGGTAGAGGAAAAGCCTCCAAAGATGAGACAATATTAGCCATTAATTAATGTTACAAAACAACAAAGAAAACACACAAACTTATTATCCAAATTTAACATAGTAAGGCAAACGATTTCGTAGGCAAACGATTTTATTCTTGACCCAGCAGAACTTAAAATTATTTGCCCGCTTATACTTGTTGGCTTCAAACAGCAGCTCTTGCAGGCGTGAGGTTAAATGTTGGTAGATCTGAAGGCTGTCTAATTTCGTGGCCGATGGTAGATAAAGTTGCTCAGGCTGAACATTACTAGTTTGTTTTCTGGCTGCAATTACGTTTTCTTCCGCCAAACGGCGAACAAATTTACAGATAATTGCTTTCGACCGGTTAGATTGCATTCTCACAAGAACACGATGGGCAATGTCCACATCGTTGATCGAGACATCCGTCCCTATGGCAGCAAATAATTTCAGGCACATACCCGTAGTTTCTTCGGCCGATTCATTCGGGTTTTGTTGAGGCATACCAGTAATTGTAATATTATATTGGTAACTATAATCTTCGATTTGCTCAACGGCGTTTGCAATGACCTCGCATTCCCTTGAAATAATATTAACTTGTTGATTTGATTTATATGTTTTAATTCCTTCATTGTATTATTTTTAAATAAAATAAGGTCGTCATTTTGAGCACTGATAAACTCTAAGGACTTATCATTATCTGTTGACTTGGTTGACTGGGAAGCATGTCTGCCATCTTGTTCAATCAGGCTTTCGTTCTTTTTCGAAAGATCCGCAGTTATTTGCTTCAAATTTCCTCTCGTAGCCGTTGGTTTTCTTTACGGAGTTTAGCAGTCGCCATTTCAGGACGAATAGTTCGAAAATATCTCAAAAAATTTCAAATTTCAAGGAGCGGCTCAAGATACGTCCTGTCTGACTCGCTCATTATTTGCTCATTTGCGAGATTCGTCCTGAGATTAGGAAGAAACTTCTTGTTATTGTTTTCTATAGACCACCTGACACGGACTTGAACTATATCAAAGAATTTAAAAACTCACTCCAAATTATCCAAAACAGCAACAAACTTGACCAACAATTAATTTGCGGCGACTTCAACCTTTTCCATATTGACTGGACCTCCGGTTCAACAAATACAAACGATCACATTCACAACTACTTTACTAAAACAGTTGAAGATAACTACCCGTGGCAGCTGGTCAATTTTCCTACTAGAGATAATACATGTACACTGGATCTTGTCCTCACTAATATTCCTGACAAAGTTAATAACATGCAAGGTATTGACGACATTCTAAACACAGATCACAAACTTATCAGTTTTGACCTTAGCTTGGAAATTCAAAAGAAACCCAAAGTCAAGCGTTTGGTTTATAATTTTAAGAAAGCAAACTGGGCTGGTCTTAAGGAACAACTCACACACGCCCCTTTGGATGAATGTTTTGTTCCTAGCAACATAGATAAGTCACTCTCTAACTTGTGTGACTTATTTCTCAAAGCTGTCGATGACTACATCTTTGCCAACTAGGGCAGGGTCACCACAACAGCATATGCCAATTGACCATTTGCGTAATAGACTAAATTTTGAACTAAACAAGTCTAGACAAATATTTCATCACAGCTTGAAGGAGCATCACAAAATTAGTAATATTCCAAAGTTTCGTTGTAAAATGTTGTAAAATGCGGAAAATATAGCCTTGCGAAATTTGCAATTTTCAGTCATTTTAGATTACAAATGGGAAATTGACAGCCCCAAACCCTTCGAGGCTGTCAATTTCCGGTTTGTAATCTAAAATGACTGAAAATTGCAAATTTCGCAAGGCTATATTTTCCGCATTTTACAACATTTTGCAACGAAATTTTGGAATATTACTAATTTTGTGATGTTCTTTCAAGCTGTATTGAAATTTTTGTTCAGATCAAAATTTAGTCTATTACGCAAATGGTCAATTGCTGTGGGCCCTTTTTTACCTAACCCACCCTGTCAACTTTCCCTATGGCAGGAAACCGGAGTACCCGGAGAAAACCAGCGACTTTCGGCAGAGCGTTGACTTATACTCTTTTCACATGAGGACTGGGTTCGAGTCGCTGAGGCTTGAACCTGCGGCCTCAAAGGTGAAAGGCAAGTGCGCTAACCACTTCGCCACCGAACCCATGGATTGGTAAGGAACTGTTACATCTCATTAAAAAGAAAAACAAGGCGTGATGCCAAACAGCTGATTTCGAAGTAGAAAAAAGATTACTGCAAAAGATTGTTCGAGAACCCCAAACGTCTCCTGTTCGGCGGTAAAATTGTCAACAAAAAACGCGTCAGAATGCTAACTTCCTGCAAACAGATACAGAGTAAAGAGCCATGAACGGACTATGACTTTAGTGTGTCCTGCTCACATTAGCAACTGTGGAAAGCTGTTTCGCCCTATTGAGGCTCGTCAGCACAGTGTAGCTAATGGAGGAGCTGCACATCCTGATATTTATATAAAGACAAGTTTGGATGCGGATGTGGGACACACAAAAATATTATAAAAGTGACAAGTAAGTCATATCTCGAATAGTCTGTTCATGGCTCTTTACGCTGCTTCAAAACTACGACATGCAGTACGCATGCGTATTCGAGATATGACTTTCTTGTCACTTTTCTATAATATTTTTGTGTGTCCCACATCCGCATCCAAACTTGTCTTTATATAAATATCTGGATGTGCAGCTCCTCTATTAGCTACACTGTGCTGATGAGTCTCAATAGGGCGAAACAGCTGTCCACAGTTACTAATGTGAGCAGGACACACTAAAGTCATAGTCCGTTCATGGCTCTTTACGCTGCTTCAAAACTACGACATGTAGTACGCATGCGTATTCGAGATATGACTTACTTGTCACTTTTATAATATTTTTGTGTGTCCCGCATCCAAACTTGTCTTTATATAAATATCAGGATGTGCAGCTCCTCCATTAGCTACACTGTGCTGACGAGCCCCAATAGGGCGAAACAGCTGTCCACAGTTGCTAATGTGAGCAGGACACACTCAAGTCATGGCTCTTTACGCTGCTTCAAAACTACGACATGTAGTACGCATGCGTATTCGAGATATGACTTACTTGTCACTTTTATAAAATTTTTGTGTGTCCCACATCCGCATCCAAACTTGTCTTTATATAAATATCTGGATGTGCAGCTCCTCATTAGCTACACTGTGCTGACGAGCCCCAATAGGGCGAAACAGCTGTCCATAGTTGCTAATGTGAGCAGGACACACTAAAGTCATAGTCCGTTCATGACTCTTTACGCTGCTTCAAAACTACGACATGTAGTACGCATGCGTATTCGAGATATGACTTACATATATATATATATATATATATATATATATATATATATATATATATATATATATATATATATATATATATATATATATATATATATATACATACAGCTAATTCAAAAAAGGTTGTCCTTTGAAAACCTTAAACTCTAAACCTTAAACCTTAAACTATAAGCGCGCAAAGCATAATGGGAGCAAACATTTCAAGCTTAGTAATCAAGCTTAGTTACGCTGCTTTGAAATTACGACATGTAGCACGCATGCGTATTCGAGATATGACCTACTTTGTCACTTTTATATATATATATATATATATATATATATATATATATATATATATATATATATATATATATATATATATATATATATATATATATATATACAGGGACAAGTTAGGATGCGGATGTGGGACACACAAAAAGTATTATAAAAGAGACAAGTACAGTAAGTCATAACTCGAATACACATGCGTACTACATGTCGTTGTTTGGAAGCAGCGTAAAGAGCCATGAACGGACTATGACTTTAGTGTGTCTTGCTCACACTATCAGCTGTGGACAGCTGTTTCGCCCTGTTGGGGCTCATCAGCACAGCTTATATTCTGGGGGCTTATATTCAAGGGGGGCTTAGAGCTGTGCTGATGAGCCCCAACAGGGCGAATTAAACAGCTGTCCACAGCTGCTAATGTGAGCAGGACACACTAAAGTCATAGTCCGTTCATGGCTCTTTACGCTGATTGAAAACTACGACATGTAGTACGCATGCGTATTCGAGATATGACTTACTTGTCACTTTTATATACTATATATATATATATATATATATATATATATATATATATATATATATATATATATATATATATATATATATATATATATATATATATATAGCTCATCATTGGTGCACTGTGCTGATGAGCCCCAAAAAGGGCGAAACAGCTGTCCACAGTTGCCGTTGTTTGAGCTTTCCTTGAAGGGCGCTACAATGTCTTTACTTATGTGCTTTATCGCCGTTTTTAAACTGTGAAATGCAGTGAGCGTGCGCATGAAGGTTTAGGCATAACGTGTAGTATATAAAGTTCCGTAGTGTCCCACATCCACCACACTGTCTTCTATAGTATATATATATATATATATATATATATATATATATATATATATATATATATATATATATATATATATATATATATATATATATATATATATATATATATATATTATGACAAAGAGATGGCTACGTATCGAAGAATTTATTAAAGATGACGAAATTAAAGTATACAAATAATAAATTTTCGGCCACTTGACACGGCCTCCCTCAGAATAAAAACTAAGTTACAGCACATGGCATTTATACTATTTAGCATGCTAAGTAATTAACCTAATCCTATTGTTGTTCAAAATCATGCGTAGAGTTAAGTCCTCTTTGATTAGTCAATAGCATACCAATCCAAAAATTTTCACATTCCCTTAGGTTGCCCTGGCGCCGATCAATTAGCATGAATTTCAACAATGAATAATCAGCACCATGACAATCCAGAAAATGGTTAACAATACCACAGGTTCTCTTATTACGTTTGATGTGAGACTTGTAATTAGCGAGTCGGGTCTTAAAATTGATAGTAGAACCCACTCCTTGCAAATTGCAAGCAACACAACTAGCAAGATAAACAACATTATCGGAGGTGCAAGTAAGAGCTTTACCAATCTGAAATACTCTTTTAGAAACTGTGGAACTAAAGGTGGAACCTTCTTCTAAAAAGTTTTTACAACAGTCACATCGCTTAGCTTTACACCTAAAACAGCCTGTAGTTTCCCTATACGACCATTGAGGTTTTACCAGAGGGAGCCATTTGTGTGGCATATAAACGTAATGCCAACTTAAAAGAATTGTTGGCCCCCTCTAATCCATTTAAAATTAAAAGCCGGTCGTATAGGGAAACCCAGGGACGCCGGAACTGGGGGGCAGGGGGGGCGGCTGCCCCCCTTGCCTTTTGCTAGGGGGGGCAGGGGGGGCAGAAGTGCCCTTTTAGTTATAAAAAAATACGTGATAAATCACATTTAGAACGTTGTTTTTTGTACGAAAAGTTTGAGATTCAGACAAAAACAGTTTAGATTTCACTTGTGGTAAGTCCGGAAAAATTTTTTGACCCCTAACCCCTAAAATGGTACACTGACC